TAATGGATAAATCCTTGCAGCTGTACTCAGGATCACAGACTAATAGGCTGATTCTGACTTAAGCCATTTTATCTGAGACACTGCAAACAAGGGTTTGCACCATCACAGCAAAACCCTATGGAAAGTGTGGCAATTGTCCAGGTCTTTTTACAGAAAAAAATATGCTGGGCTCACTCATCTATTTCAGTTAGAATTGAAAACCACTCTGGGTCTACACAAGACCTTTTACTTGTTCCTTTCTTGCTGCCAATGAATAGGCTATAAAAATTGACCTTGAGGGGTATCCTGTCTGCTTGACAAACGTTGCTTCATTGGTGTGGATTGTCTCAGGGTGTCCATGGTGTACCTTTGGATTGGCACCAGGCCTCCATGCTAATACCACCTTTCCCCAATTTTTTTGCATACAAGTTTAGCACCTAGGGCCTAAGTAGATGCGACAGCCATTATCCAGTCTACCAGTGCTGTTTTTCTTTGGCTAAACCTGCAGCGGGGAAGGAACTGAAATAGGAACATGGCAGTGGAGAATGCGTGTTAAACCAACCAACTTTATTTACCTAAATATATTATTGAGTGCTTTTAACAGAGGAAGAGAGAAAAGACAGATGCAATATGAGAAGTATTTCACCATGTATGCATCAACCAGGGTGGGGTTGGAGAGCTATTTAAGGCAGGAAAATGGTAGTTAATCTCTCTCCCTCAGTGTCATGCCTCAAGTCTGAGTTCTCTCCCTCAAGGCTGCTTTAACCAAACCAGGCAGCATGTAATTTGGCCAGTGTTTGCATTCAACTACCAAAGACAGCCTGTTGCCTTTGTCCATGGAGTTTTCTTGGCAGGGATACTGGAGTGGCTTGCCAGTTCCTCCTCCAGGTGGATCACGTTTGGTCAAAACTCTCCACTATGACCTGTTCATCTTGGGTGCCCTGCTCGGCATAGTTCATAGCTTCTCTGAGTTATTCAAGCCCCTTCGCCACGGCAAGGCAGTGATCCATGAAGGGGGCAGTGATCCATGAAGGGATCACTCTACTAAATAGTAGAGACATCACCTTGCCAACAAAGGTCCGTATAGTAAAAGCTATGGTTTTCCCAGTAGTGATGTATGGAAGTGAAAGCTGGACCATAAAGAAGGCTGATCGCCGAAAAATTGATGCTTTTGAATTATGGTGCTGGAGGAGACTCTTGAGAGTCTCATGGACGACAACAAGATCAAACCTATCAATTCTTAAGGAAATCAGCCCTGAGTGCTCACTGGAAGGACAGATCCTGAAGCTGAGGCTCCAATACTTTGGCCACCTCATGAGAAGAGAAGACTCCCTGGAAAAGACCCTTATGTTGAGAAAGATGGAGGGCACAAGGAGAAGGGGACGACAGAGGACGAGATGGTTGGATAGTGTTCTCGAAGCTACCAGCATGAGTTTGACCAAACTGCGGGAGGCAGTGGAAGACAGAAGTGCCTGGAGTGCTCTGGTCCATGGGGTCATGAAGAGTCGGACATGACTAAACGACTAAACAACAACCAAAGACAGCATAAAGCAGAATCGATTCCCCCTTTCCCTCAAATGATGTTTTATTGCTGTATGTAATATTTACTTGTGTCTCAATTCCTAAGACAATATGCAGTACATAGAGAGTCACAGATAGAAATGCTGGACATTATGAGAGCCTTGGAAGAGTCCATAGCAGACAATATGAGGCTTGTCAGAGCACACTAGGCCTTGCCTTGCCTGTTCTGAAGTTGTCAGTGTACTTTGACACCATGGAGGACTCAGAGTAGCAGAGCTGCACATAGCATGGCTTAAAGACATCACAGGCTATACTATGCCTATCTCAAATCATTTCAGATCAGGCCTAGGACCCACCAGAAAGTAAAGAGGTCCAAAACCTACCCCCATTCTAACTGCAAACCCTGGTTACAAACTAAATTCTGGTTGAAATATCAGCCTCACACTTAGCACCAACCTGCCCACTTTGGTTTCCCAGGTTACCCGGACTTTGAATAAACTAGGTAAAGGTAAAGGGACCCCTGACCATTGGGTCCAGTCGTGGCCGATTCTGGGGTTGCAGTGCTCATCTCGCTTTATTGGCTGAGGGAGCCGGTGTACAGCTTCCGGGTCATGTGCCCAGCATGACTAAGCCACTTCTGGCGAACCAGAGCAGTGCATGGAAACACCGTTTACCTTCCCGCGGGAGCGGTACCTATTTATCTATTTGCACTTTGACGTGCTTTCAAACTGCTAGGTTGGCAGGAGCTGGGACCGAGCAACGGGAGCTCACCCCGTCGCGGGGATTCGAACCGCTGACCTTCTGATCGGCAAGTCCTAGGTTCAGTGGTTTAACCCACAGCACCACCCGCGTCCCTTTTGAATAAACTAATCCTCCCTTTACTCTGCACTCCTATCCCAGTGTCTAAGCAAGAACTGATTGATGTCTCTGATTGCACTACTGTATTGCAGTTTCTATCTTTACAGGTAAGCAAATATATTATTTCTTATTTGCTTAACGGAAAAGCTCAGAAGTGTTTTCTACCACTCTTCTAGTTGCTAAACAGTTTTGGTTCTCCAGATAGTCTCATGGAGTGATAGTATTTTATGGAGTCATGTGTTTGTAGGAGAGCAATGTTTATCTCAAAATGGGGGTCGGAGGAACACCACAAACCTTTTATACAGGCTAAGCTCTAGCTGCACCTTCTTCTAAAATAAGACAGAATTGAAAGAGGATTTTCATTTTGCAGCCTCTCTGGGGACAATCTGTTTTCATCTTAGTGAAATATTTCTCAGGCCCCATGCAACCTGACCTGTTTTACTCAAAAAGGGAAGTTGTTCGGCTGGAAGATGTTTCTGTCATGTTTCTTTCTACTCGTCACCTATGTTGCCAGTTGAAAATGCTTTCCTCAGCCACAGCTCCATCTGCCATAGATTGGACATGGAATAAGAACTGTCTTCTGGACAGCTTCAAGGAGTATATCAGACTAATATCCAGTTTCTGCACGAGAATGGCAGGAATATTATTTCTAGCAATCTACCTAGTTCCAAGTGAAAAAGTAAACTATTTTTTGTTTACAACCTTAAGTTTTAATAGCCAGAGGCTGCAATCCTGTACTCTTCTACCTGGGAATAAGCCCTATTGAAATGAAGTATTTACTACAAAATGGGAAGTCTTTAAAATTTATTTCAAAAATCGTAATGACAGTTTGAACTCTGTAGCAGCAGTTGAATAACTTCAGTAGGAGTTTTAAATCTGATGGAAAACCTAGGATAGACTAAATTAACATTAAAGCTAAGACATGTTATAATATGGCAGTGAATAATAGATGAGAAATAGAAGTAAGGAGTAGATGGGAAGTCAGCTATATAGAAAAAAGTTATTTTTATGTTAAATGTATTGTGAGCACTATTCAATGTATTGGTTGTTGTTCTTTATTTTTCTTAGTTGTTAGGAAGTGATGGATATTTGTTTATCTTCATATTTCCTTTTTGTATGTGGTGTATTAAAATGAAATAAAATTATTCATATATATATAGTTTTAATAGCCAGAGGGTGCAATCCTGTACTCTTCTACCTGGGAATAAGCCCTATTGAAATGAACTGGAGTTACATCTAAATGAAGGCTGGCAACATTAACCCTGCCATGTGTAAATCCCTTGCAGACAACCACAGCTCCTGGAGAAAATTAGTCAGATTGTGTAACTACATCAGTGACAAGAGGGGAAATGAACACTGGGAGGTGCCCCATGATATTCTTGTAAAGAAGCTGGTAAAATGCGGTCTTGACTATGCTACCACTCAGTGGATTTGTAACTGGCTGACTGACCGAACCCAAAGGGTGCTCATCAATGGTTCCTCTTCATCCTGGAGAAGAGTGACTAGTGGGGTGCCACAGGGTTCTGTCTTATTCAACATCTTTATCAACAACTTGGATGATGGACTCAAGGGCATCCTGATCAAATTTGCAGATGACACCAAACAGGGAGGGGTGGCTAACACCCCAGAGGACAGGATCACACTTCAAAACGACCTTGACAGATTAGAGAACTGGGTAAAAACAAACAAGATGAATTTTAACAGGGAGAAATGTAAAGTATTGCACTTGGGCAAAAAAAATGAGAGGCACAAATACAAGATGGGGGACACCTGGCTTGAGAGCAGTACATGTGAAAAGGATCTAGGAGTCTTGGTTGACCACAAACTTGACATGAGCCAACAGTGTGACGCGGCAGCTAAAAAAGCCAATGCAATTCTGGGCTGCATCAATTGGAGTATAGCATCTAGATCAAGGGAAGTAATAGTGCCACTGTATTCTGCTCTGGTCAGACCTCACCTGGAGTACTGTGTCCAGTTCTGGGCACCACAGTTCAAGAAGGACACTGACAAACTGGAACGTGTCCAGAGGAGGGCAACCAAAATGGTCAAAGGCCTGGAAACAATGCCTTATGAGGAACGGCTAAGGGAGCTGGGCATGTTTAGCCTGGAGAAGAGGAGGTTAAGGGGTGATATGATAGCCATGTTCAAATATATAAAAGGATGTCACATAGAGGAGAGAGAAAGGTTGTTTTCTGCTGCTCCAGAGAAGCGGACACGGAGCAATGGATCCAAACTACAAGAAAGAAGATTCCACCTCAACATTAGGAAGAACTTCCTGACAGTAAGAGCTGTTTGACAGTGGAATTTGCTGCCAAGGAGTGTGGTGGAGTCTCCTTCTTTGGAGGTCTTTAAGCAGAGGCTTGACAACCATATGTCAGGAGTGCTCTGATGGTGTTTCCTGCTTGGCAGGGGGTTGGACTTGATGGCCCTTGTGGTCTCTTCCAACTCTATGATTCTATGATTCTATGATTCTAGGAGTGCAGAAACAAGAAAGGCCATGGTACACCAGCACAACCGGATGCTTTCATCTGTCCCTACTGCAACAAAATATGGAACCTTAGAACCATAGAACTGTAGAGTTGGAAAGGACACCAGGGGTCAACTAATCCAACCCCCTGCAATGCAGGAATCTTGCCCACAATCATCCCTAGGTGGGCTTGAACCACCAGCTTGATTAACAGCCAGATGCACTGACCCATTGTGCCACTGGGGGTAATGGCTAGTAAATTAAAAAAGGAATCTATAGGTACCTCTCCCGTATCGGTCTCTACAGACACAGCAGGTGCTGTGATTCTCCAACAGTTTGAAATTGCTCCCCACATTCCAAAGACACTGTCTTCCATTATCTCCTGTGATACAAATATGCCAACAATATCTAAACAGATATGTATAGGGTTGCCCTGTTAATTAACAGTATAATTTTGTTGTTTTGTTTGTTTAGCCTTGTGATCCTTAATGATATTTCATAAGCACTCCTTAATGATTTCCACTGTAATTATACATTGTAGGATAGAATTTTTGAATCTCTCTTGATAAGTCCACATCCCCACTGTCCAGCCACTCTCAGAGGTTGAGAGACTTCCCAATATGCAATCTAGTCTTCATTCCTATATCCCACTTACCTGGGAGTAAGCCCCATAAACTCATTTAAATTATAATAATTAAATTATTTATATACTGCTTTTCAGGCAGACCTCACAAAGCACGAAGAAACATTCCAACAATAGGCATCTTTTTCTTTTTCTTACAATAAAAGAGCACTATAATTTAGCTCTGACTAAGCATGTACAGGATTGTGCTGTTAAACCCCTTATTCCCCAGGATGAAATAATTATGACTACTATTTTTAAAAACAAACTTTCACATAAATAAGAGTTATTATACTCCATAAATCTTTATTTTACCAGTATTAAAAAAAGCAAATTGCTTATATGGCAGAAGTAATGAAGTCCATTTCAAATTGATGGGAGAATGAACATGTTAAAGGATGTTTTTGTTTAAATATATCTGAAGTGTTAAGCTGTGGGTGAACACATCAGATGACACAGCGATTCTTCAAACAGCTCTTGTTTATTCACAGGCCAGAACAGAACTGAACTAAAGGGTTCAGTCAGCCTGCTTATATAGAGCTCCAGTACAACGTAACTGTAACAATTTTCTAAAACTACCCAATCACTGAACGTCACTTTAGATCCCTTATTTGCATAACTATCTACAGTATCCCCCTGCTGGCCCAGGGTGAGAACTTCAGTACATAACATGAAGGTTGTTTTTTCCAGTTACAAAGGCACAATACATTAACCAGCATTTCATCAACTGCTCATTTCATACATTACCACCGATTTTCATGTAACGTATTCTCTTTATAGCTACCAAAGACGAAACTCATTAAAAGTATATCAGTGAGGCCAAACCTAGATCCACAAAATGTTTAGGGTTATGCATACCCCCGCATCCCCCAAGAAAAAAAGCACTGGTTGCAAGTATCCTTATAGCACACCATGTGGGTAAAGGGTTGATACAGGCACAGGAATGACAGCAATTCCATTGGAGGATGGGAAACAACTGCCTTTTAAAATGGAAATGAAAGCAAGTTTTATATTTCTTTAAGGAGCAAAAGCAATATGTTGATGATGCCAACACTATGTATGGAGGTGGTGAGACTGGGAGCTAACTGAATTCTCTGGTCGTTCACACACAAACACCCCCCCCCCAATAGGCACAAAAGTGAAGTGGTTTTCCCACATGCTGATATTCAATATATGGGTTTTCTTGCTTGGGAACTCATTTTGTTCAATACTCTTCAGCATGTTACCTTTATCATGCTGAGACCTGCATAAAAATGAAATGTCATACTTTGATACCCTTCTAGTCACTCGTACAGTTTATTTTTCGTGTCCCCCGGTAGCATTCACAAATTTAATAACTGCCCTTTATCCTTGAATCTATTCTCTTCCAGCTTTCTATTCAGCTCTTTTCTCTGACAGTTTTGCAGGAAATTCCTCATCTTGCATATTCTGTTGCAGAAAGAAAAGAAAGATGAAAAGAGAGAAGAGGATATTAGCTACCATTTAGAAAAAGGATGAGGAGCAATCAGACCATATGAATGGTCAAATAGAAAGCGGGAAATCACTGTGCTTCTGTTGCCACAGTTGTAGTCAAGTTAGCTATTTGCTGCCTGAATTAATTGAGTAGTTCAAACTGAAAAGTTTATTATGAGTCTTATTATCTGCGCTTCAAATTTTGTGGAAAAAATATAATTTACCCCTAATCAAAAAATAATAAGGTTATTTGCAAGAAGTTGAGGATAACACCAGAACAATTTTGCAGTTGATTAAAATATATGATGATGAATTCTTGCCTCTCTGTTTTGATGCCTGGGATTATAATTAAGAATGACTTGGCAGGTCTTCATATGATCTCTAAATGACAATGACATTATCATCAATTCAGGGCTTTATTATACGGCTGTTATTCTCAGAATTTTTATAAGGCTAAGAAGAATGAAGTCACATTTTCATTTAAAATGCCATTTGCCAAAGACGTTCACTAGAAATATATGTTTTTAATCAGCAGTAGGACACCATCCTATGTGCTGTAGAGTACCTGCCTTATTTTCTGTTTCAAAGAAAATATAAAGTGTTCTGTCAAGCTGTCAGGGGACTGTGCATTGGTACAGCACTCTTACAACCCTGATGGAGAGATATATAAAGACAGGAGGACTCTGTTTGTGTGTGCGTATCTACATGTTCTTAGCTGTTCAACATACGGATGTCACTGTCAGCTTTGACACTATCAATCAGTTGTTTATTACTGCACATACAGTTCTCAGTCCAGGGTTAAGCGCTAAAAGCAATCTGGAATTGAGAGAGAGGAACTAGCTCTTTCCAGCTAACCTACCCTATCAGAGAGCAAAGCGCTGAAAGAGGGGTCTGTCCACTTGATATTCCATACCTCAAATTGCTACTCATCAGTGAGTTATGTCTTGGCACAATACCACTGGATCTGCTGAGCTCCAAGATGAAGGGACACTTTCCTTGCTTTCAGGGATGTCCAAGGGCTTCTTAACGCTTGCGGAGATGGCTGAAAATCACTGGGTGTCATGTAAAAATTGAAGGTTTTCCCCCTGTCCATTTTGTTCAAATCTTGGGATCATTGTTTTTGAATGTTCCAAGCTATGCAGAAAGTTACTCCATTATGAAGATTTCTCTGGTTCTCTGGTTTGCATTTCTTAACCTGAAATAAGATGAGGGTGATGGTTAAATTTATTACCTGCCCTTCAGCAGCAGATTGCAGGGCAGACTACAGCAATATAAAATTCAGAATTAAAAACAGGAAAACAAATTACACGCACAGGAATAGGGTTGTCCTGAAAACACACATCTCAGGTGTCAAAGGCAAGAGTAAAGAGTTGTGTCTTTAGCATATGCCAAAAGCAATTGTAGTGAAGGTGCCAGACACATATTTATGGGGAGGGAATTCAGCAAGTTAGAGGCTGCCACAGATAATGTCCTCTTCTAGACCACCATCACACACACACAAATTCTGAGAGTGGCAAAACTACCAAGAGCGTTCCTTCTGCTGATCTTAACACCCAAGAGAGTCCATAGGGAAAGGGGTGGTCTCTCTCTCTCTCTCTCTCTTTCATTATATAGAAATTACTAGGTTAGTATATTAGGGTGAATTATTGTCAATCTGTTTGGAAAATATTGCCAGCGTCCATTGGATTAAATAATGCCTAGTATAGCACATTACCTGTCAATGATCAGCTGAACCTTTTAACAATATAAAAATTAACATCTATTTCCAAATATCAAGCAACTCCCTTCATGCTGTTCCTGCGCTTTCTGCATCCAAAGCAGGGAAACATCAAAGCTTAACATTGTGGAGAGGGGAACCATGGGAATGACTGCCAGTGGAATTAATTTTCTGTCATTTCCCATTCTTAGCATGTGTTCCTCGGATGCCGAAACATAATGTCATTTTATGTAGTTGTACAAATCCCAAGACTGGATGCATTTCGTGTTACTTTTACCAATTATGACAATTTCACATTTTCATCAGAAAATGGATTTCATGCTGATTTGAGTGATCTTATGAGGTTGTTTGGGGGGATCACTGTGTGAATTTGAAATGGCTTGTGTTTAACCTTTGCTTCTGGAAACACTGTGGAGAGACTGGAAGAGGCTGCAGAGACTTTTTTAAAGAAGAAGAAGAGAATTAATATAACTCACACATAACCATGCAGAGCAAGAATACTTTTGTGAAGGAGATGCAATCTCACAAATCCCACAAACTTTTCAGTCTTCAGTCTCTCGAGCTCTAAATCACTTAAGCTTTCCCACACTAATTGGCAGGTGTGAAGTGAGGCCTCAGTATGCATGTACTGCTCCCTGTTTCACAAGAACTGTCTCATTCATTGTAGCAGATCAAGTCTGCAGAGCTTTGAGCCACCAACCAGAGCACCCCAGAGCCACATACTCATGCATCCTTGCTTTTAGACCTGGGAGGGCAGAACAAACCGTTGTTGGCTGTGTTCAGTTTAACAGGACATAAGGAAGGGTGGGGCGCAGGTGGCGCTGTGGGATAAACCACAGAGCCTAGGGCTCGCTGATCAGAAGGTTGGCGGTTCGAATCCCCGCGACAAGGTGAGCTCCCATTGTTTGGTCCCAGCTCCTGCCAACCTAGCAGTTCGAAAGCAAAAGTGCAAGTAGATAAATAGGTACTGCTCCAACGGGAAGGTAAACGGCATTTCTATGCACTGCTCTGGTTCGCCAGAAGTGGCTTAGTCATGCTGGCCACATGACCTGAAAGCCGTACGCCAGCTCCCTTGGCCAGTAAAGTGAGATGAGCACCACAACCCCAGAGTGGTCCGCGACTGGACTGAACCTAACAGTCAGGGGTCCCTTTACCTTTAAGGAAGGGTACCTTAGCACACCTGTTAAATTCTACTGAAGGAAGCCCAAAGATGACTTATCACATCACTAGTTTATCTAACCTGGAAATTGATCCCAGGACTTCTTGGATTCAAAGCATGTGTTCTATTGCCTGATAAGACTTCTCCCTAGGTGAATGCAAAGCAGATGGACCTAAGGCTCTCGGAATGCCTATTTTCAAAGCAATGTGTTGGTTCCAATTATGATTCTATCATTGTGTAAGATTAATAATGAAACAATCTCCTTGTGTTCCAGTGTCATTGCTTAAATACCTGAAA